TCGCTTTCGAAACACTGCAGTTATTTGGGCCCACAACTTTCACTATAATTGGTTGAATTTCCATATTAAATTAATTTCGTATCAGATGTGATTACATCAAGCAATATATAAAATCCGAGATGTTGATTTAAAATCTTTTAGTCGACAATATTTCGGACTTAAACTGTAACTTCAAATAATAGAAACACAAGAAACACTATTTTTTAATATTTTTAATAGCTATATTTTCATTGGCTTATTTTCTCAAAATCAACAAAATTACACATTGCATAGTTTGTGCAAAATCTAGCCTGTCGTATTTGTTAATCCTAATGATCATCTGACCCCCTATGGATGTATCGCCGCTTAATCCCAATGTTAGGCTAACTTGTAGGCACTTTATTTTATTAATATTTTAGACATTTGGTGGAAGGTCTTTTTGTGGGGGGCTGCCTGTAATGCTGTTATATATGGTACTGCCATGATAATTGCACTGGTAAACCTTCGAGCGCATAAACTTGCAAGGGTGTATTTTCCAGTGATGATGTTAATTACGGGCCTGCTTAGTACTTTTACAATCCTCCTACTGTCGTGTAAGTCTTTGATAACTACAATCGTATGAATATTTTTTTTTTGAGAATTTGAAATCATCGTTCCACTGATTAGGTACATCTATTCAAGTTTATGTTTTTGTTATGTATCAGACGTTTTCGCGTGTGCATCAATTTGGCTTTAACTAATCAAACCATCTTCCTAAAAGTTTCCGACATGAATTTAAAACGCATTCTTGTATTAGACTCTTGCCCACATGCTTATTAGTCCCGTACAGGGTTATTATTCTCACCCATATAGTAATCTCAGATTCAAATAATTTATGTCAAGATAAAGACCGGACCTGGTGACAAGTTTTGTCAACTCTGTTTAAGTGACTGCGCCAAATCAAGTGTCATTTTTCCGTCATACCAGTGTAAAGTTCGCGCTGTATTACCCGCCTTATTAGCCACTTCAAAGTTTGGTAGGCTTTTGTAAAACCTGGGCCATATCATCATTACGGTCTAACTATATTGGAATAATCCTCTGTAATTTGGCTGTTTTTCTTCTGTTCCATGCGTCTCTTCGATGCTACATTTGGCCCGTCCTGTATGTAAACTTACACACAAATTTTAACGAGAAATTCGTGTGATTTGATACAGAAACAATCAGAATTCTCTATTTTTCGTTAAACAGTCTTGGGAAATGGTGACCTGCCCAAAAAGTTAATTATGCTAAACCAAGTACTTTTTGCACCATATGGTTACTAACTACATACTTTGCACTATAGTGATTCGGAACCATGTGTATTTGATAATGGGGAGTAGGTTTCGTCCAGTGGATAAGGAAAATCGGCTGTACCTAATAGTGTCATGTGCGTGCTACTTCCCGGCTTTTGCTGTTATCTATTTATTTTTACACAGGTCTTATAATTGCATTGATTTTCGACTCGATGGCCCTGCCATTCAATGAACTATATGCATTTGCCTGTGGATTTCTGTCTGCTCTAATACTCTTCTTTTTCTCTGTTAGCCGTGTTCCGGCTACATTGTAACTTCTACAGCTTATAAATATTGTCGATTGATCCCTTTTGCTTGTACAGTGTACATTAGTCGCCCAAATAAAGTCATTTATGTTTAAATTGTGTTTTTTTTTTCAAAAGCGTGTAAGTTTAATGTGGTTACTTAGCGCCAGTGCGTCTATTTTAATTACCCTGTGTGGGTATTTAATTACGGCCCGCTTAGTAGTTGCGTATCAATGTATGTAGCTCAAATTGTATTGCATTCTGCTTCTGGTTTTAGGCGCCGTTCATCAGTTACCCTAGACCATCTCTTATCGTAATTAGCCTCCTCGTGATCTACTTGTCGGTGTCTCTGGATTGGTTATTGTCACTAAACGGCGAAAATGTAGTCTCCTATGTGGTAATATTTGACGCCGGGAGCACTGGATCACGAGCGCGAGTCTACACATTGAGGTCAAACGCATCAGGTGGGCGTTTGGTTAAGCAAACATCGTTTTCCCTAGCCTCCTAACAATGTGCCTAATAAAAAAAACTTTGCTCCCTTTGGGAACTCATGTTGACGTTCGAATTGTTGCCTTTAGGAAGATGGTCATTGTGAATCCTGTCACTCATTTTATTGGAACCCAAAAAGCGCATTTTTTTCTAGCGGCTTTTTCTGTCCTTGTGTGTTGTCATTGCAGAGGTTCTCTATTTCAAATGGATATGTAAATGCACTGTAGCCTTTTTATCTTCGCTCACCAGCAAGATGTATGATTTAATGGAGTTATGGTGCTTACACTCATCTCATCTAACACTTGTGCCAACAAAATTTTGGTAATAACACGTATTCTGAACTCAGGCTCAGATGGTTTTTCAGTAGTGGCAGAAGCCATGCCCTAGAGCCGTCTATGTTTGTCATTTTAGCCGATTTACCCTGCTCTCGTTCCCACTTTCTAACGACCATTTTAATTAATGTCGTGAAAAATTTCAGGGAAATAGATTTGTGACGACACGTAGATAACGACGTGTCCTCTATTCTATGAAACTGGGATGCCGAAATGTGACTTCTTACATTCGTTGTGAAGTATATTGCTAATTTGTGTCTTGTCCCAGAAAAATGCCTCTACGAGCTGGTCAACGAAAAGGCCTTTTCGGTCGAGCCAGGTCTCTCTGAGTTTGTCAGCCTTCCTAATGAGTCTGCAGAATATCTACAGCCATTGCTGGACCGGGTAAAAAAGTGCATACCTCCCAAAAAGTGGGCTGAGACACCGATAATTTTGCGCGCTACGGCAGGTCTGAGATTACTCCCAAACGAAACAGCCAGTGCGATTCTCGAATCTGTGAGTTGTTTGCTTTAAATCTTTTGGATGTGACATCCAGTTAGTCGCGAATTTTGTGTTAAAGCAAGCCCTGACAACTGTTTGGTCTTTGAATTCCCATTGGTAAATGTTATCACCAAAAAGCACAGGCCTACCCATGCAATGTCTTTAATGCTAAAACCTAGAATTAACGGCATTAGCACTTGTGTGATTAACTGGCACCTTGTACGCATGATTCGAACCTTCATTCCATTGATGGAAGACTTCAAATATTCGGGTCTGAGTACTAGTAATGTTGGTTCTTGTATGGAGCTGTAGGTACCGTGCAGTAAGAAGCAGTTCTCGTTGACAGCGATATCGTAATTTTGTGATGAAATTTTACGAAAAGCGGGATTAGTATCTTGCGTATTGTGGACGTCAGACGGGTGGTCTTTGCACGTTTGTGTTACTACAAGTGCAGCAAGTTATGTAAACAAACTGTCATGTGAGATCTTCTGGTGCTCGAAATAGACGACTTGCATAATGGGCTTTTCTTACTGGGCATTCCGCTGCACACAGACGCATATAGGTCTATCAATACCTCCAAGACGTCTTTCCACTTTTGCTGCCACGAGAGGCATGGCCTGAGACTACTTGCGGCGAAACACCTAATCACGCGGCTCAGTCTATCCAACGGTACAAAGCAACGGTCATATGAAGCGACTTTGGGCTTGTATTTATCTTATTGCAGTCCTGAAATCAGCACCGGCCATCAAATACCCATGAGTTTAATTTAAAGGGAGGGCGCAAGCTACTCACTTACGGATTGTGTTCATTCCCATACCCTACGTGATCGAACTCAACTTTGCTCATTGTTGTCTCTTGTAAACTGAGCCGTCAAATTATCCAAAATTATAACCAATCACGTTTGGGTGCGGACTGTGGAGTCTTCTCATGCTTCGTCTAACCTTATGAGCTGTTTCGAGTTACAACAGAGAAGATTGGCCAGTGTTTCAGAATGGCATTGAGGACAGAGATTCCGAAGCGCCAAAAATGAAACTTGGCGGCACAACTGTGGTCCTCCCCATGTTCCCCAACACCATTACAGGCAATGCCAACGTCGTCAATGTAATTAACTCTTAAATGTAGTCTGACGAGTGGGTGATGCGTGAGACGCCAGAACCCCTGAGATTCACTTTCCGAACTGAAGGGAATTCGTGGATACCGAAGCAGACCACGGAGTGTCGTGATGGTTGTTTTGAATATGTCAGTCCATTTAACGGCCACGGGTAACAGGTACTCACTAGGTCCAGTTTGGAAAGTGTGGTTTCGTTGTGCAGGCGAGAGGAGCTTTTGTGCAGATCAAAATAAAATAGAGATGGGAGAAGGTCGTTTTATTTAAAGCATCATAAACACCGGCTCTTCGGCTTGATGAGGAGACCAAGATGATTGGGAAAGTCGGGGCCCATAATCAGTTTTGTCGCAACTGCGGTAGCAAAAAGTAAAAAAAAAAGCCGAATTCGAACACCAAAGTTTTCCGTTCCTTGTGTTGGGACTTGTAATTCGTAAACTGTAGCAGAAACACAAAATGTGTTGTGTAGAATTTTCCCCGTGTTTTGAGACAGTAACCGGGATATCATACCAGTTGAAGTCTGCTGCATGGAAAGGTGGTGGCTCGTCTGCCAGTCTGTGGTGGGGAACTCAACTACCCGGCGTCTTTATGTTTCAGTCAATTTTTGTGGGTTCGGTGTTGCCTAAACCCACAGGGGCCCACACTGGTGGACCGGATTTGGAGGTTTGTTGTGCTGTAGGCCCCGTCATGTGGTCTTGTGCCACGCTGGGGTCGTTGGGTTGACTTAGCCCATTCACACGACTCAGGCACTCGAGAACACAAGAAGACCCACGACGGCAGAGACAGGCGTTTACCAAACAGCTCAACCTAGTTGTGTTAGTCGCGCCACTGCGCATAAAAAACGTGTCTGACCCAATGGGTTTGTCGATCCATACAGTCTAGGTGAACCTGGAAAAGTACAAGTAGCTGAACGGTCAAATGGATTAAACGGGTAGTGTTGGGGCGGTACACACACAGGGGTGATTGAGCAGACGGCTTAGAACGATCGATAGGGCCTCTGTGAAAAAAGAGGTCACTGCGGTGGAGAATGAGACGTCCTGGTTGATGAACGTAAAGCAGCATGATTCACTACAGCTGTGTGAAACTGAACTAGTATGTGGCAGAAGTCGTTTTCAAAATAGTGGGTAGTACATTTAAAAAAAAATCGGAACCTTGTGAAATTGGTGTGTTATTGAAGATTTGATGCTAAGTACGAGTAGAATTGAAAGAAGGCGCTTGTTAAAAGACTCGTTTATTTGGCATCAAGACCCAATCGGTTCTTCTCTGCCAATGTGTTTTAGTACGAAAATTCCAAAAATGACGTGCTATTTATAGTCATGAGAGTATGGCGTTTGTACTAACGTATCAAGTTAGTCAGGTACAGTCGATTGCGAGAGGCACTTTCATAATTGCAGTAGCCCTGAGGTAGCCTTGGAGGTGCACGTTGGCTGAGTCGTCACTGGGCTTATTCCTGCTACTTGTATTGGCTGTCAACGGGTCGAACACGGAGATCAAAGCAGGCAATTATTTTTGTTTGGTCACCCAAATCACTGTTGGGACTAGCACAAGCCACAGAACTGCGGCAGTTTCAATTAACCTGTTAGCCGTCCGGTTAGCTGGTATGCGAATAGTGGATTGTTTCTTGTCACTGTAGGTTGCTGGCGTTTTCAATAAATCTGGATTCCGTCTGCCAGTCCAAGGGGCGGTTAGCATATTGGATGGCACTGACGAGGGATTCTTCGCATGGCTCTCCCTGCAGTTTCTTCGAGGCGGGTCATGCCTTGGCAAGGACCTGTCCACCGCCCCCAAAACGACGTCACAAGCCATATTTGACCTCGGTGGGGCCTCCTTCCAGTTGGCCTTCCTAACAACCTCAGTGGAGTCGAATGAGGGCGTACACAGCTTACCCAGTGCCTACGAGGGAACTCAATTCGCACCCCTAGGTGGCAAAGTAATAAAAAATTTTACGGTGTCCATGTCTTTACCTTTTAAAAGTGCTCTACTGCTCTAAAATAACCTGTGAACTTGGATGTTGTAGACGACGACGATGTCGGACCCTCGCTATTTTGTGGTCCCAGCACTAACAAGACAGGGGAGACCTTGACTGATGCTGGTCGCAATGAAAATGGGTCGAGTTGTGTTGTTGATGGATCACACTGTTGTGAGTGTGAGGTTACAGTGGAAAGGGTGAATGAGAAGCCAGACATGCGTAGGTGGGACGACGGACGCTGTGCTAACGCTTGAGATTTGAATTTATTCGAATTCTCATTAATTACTCATGGCTAACATAAAGCTCTCTAGATTATTCAAGCCGCTTCATCTGGTGATAAGGGAACAGCAGCCGTAAAAGGATATTTAAATCACGGTTGTGGGGAGGTTGCGTTGTAGTGCAATCAGGATCATGGTGTAACGTGTGTATGCTGGGTGTTAGATCCACAATGGTTTCTTTCAAAAAGAGGAGCGTTGGAGACTTGAGATTGAGGCAGCCATTGGCTTGTGTATCCCTAGTGTAGTATGGTGTGACAGGATAGCTGCAAGGCCATCACCGCACAAGTTCCAACCGTGAAGATAGATGTTATTGAGACTTGAACTTCATGGTCTATTTAATGTTCTGCCAAAACAGTTTGCGATTTGTTCACTCTCATGAATTTCATGATGTGAGAGCTCTTCCATCTAGCTACAGAGAGTTAACACCAAGTTTGAAGTTCGTAAGCATAAGGCCAACAGTTAAGCGAGCTATCTTTGCAATTTCAATTGTTATATTTTGCAGTTCTTTGCTCACAGCTACCTGGGTCTCGGACTTATGACGGCAATGCATTCGATGCTTTTGCGTTCTTCTAATCTCTCTGCAGCCGAGTCAACTCGTCACCTTCAGTCTCCGTGTTTTCCTGCAAACACCACTGTACGTGAATTTAATGCATTTTTTCTCTAACGCGTAAGACCTACGTGCCTTAGGGTCCAACATTGGCGTCCTGTGTGCTTTAGACTTTGGTTCGGTCGGCAGAAATGCACATTGTCCTTAACAGGCAGCATAGATATTGCATCATCTCAACCGACGTGTTTTGTCGACTACCAACTCACTTTAAGAACGTCTTCTTCAAACCCCTAGCAACCGATCCATCTTAATGTGATGGTCCTGCTGATGCAGTAGTGAAGGAACTTGCACTAATACGATGCCTGACTTATGTATAGACATTGATTACAAGTGCCGTATGGAAGGTCTTTCTTGTTCTGTCAGCACCGACCTTGAGTTATGCATAGCGACCGCCGTCGTCACCAATAATTCTCATCGTTTTAATAAATATAGTATTTTGAAAGCTAATTCCATATTTAGACATCTGTTTGATGATGTGCCTAGTCAAATCAGCGTTTATTGTGATTTTACTAAGGTCAATTGAACCGAATAAATGGTGGCAGGTGACTTTGATGTGGTGCAGGCCCACCAAATATTAGCAACGATCTCGGCTACACCATCAAATCACATTCAAGTCATCGACTGCAATCAGCCTTGTTTAACGGCGAAAATTATCGTGTTTTTTACTTTTGCGTATTTAACCAAGGGCACATGGAGCCATGGCAGGGAGAAATGGACAGTGTCGTTCGGTCCCCAAGGTCCTCAATCTCTTCCTGACCGTGCATTTAACGAGTGTTTTAAAGCAGCAGTCGAAGTGATTGCCGACCACGGACTACGTAAGTTAAAATATTGCACCACCTGTTAATATTGCATCACCGATGCGTAGTACTAGTATCATATGAGTGGTATAAGGCAGATGATCATCTGCGCCAAGTGCTTCCTTACCTGGGAGAAGTCTTTGCCTAGCGTTTGTTCCACATCACGGACGTGTAGTTTCCCAACAAGCCTTGTACACCATACCAGTGGTGAACTAATTACATGAGCCTGCAATCAGCTGCTGCTGCGTTTTTCGCCACAAGCAGAATTGCCTCATTATTTGCAATTAGCATTTCGTTCTTTCTGTCACAGCGGACAGTCATGCAAGACAACTGGAAGATCTTAAAGTACTGGAGATTCAAGCAATGTCGTATATGTGCACGAAGACAGAGGAGGCTGAGCGCCTTTCAAACAGGCCTCCGGACGGAAGGATTCCCGTACAGTGGTACTTCGATGCTGCGAAAAAGTGTACGTTCTCCTCTGTTCGTGCTTCTTTGCACGCTTCGCGAGTATAGTTTCAGGAGAATGCAAGTGCTTACTAGATAACGGCATATCTGCTTATTCCAGCGCGATAGCATTGCTACAGCGCACTTCCCATGATTGCCTAGATTCTGACGATACACGAACTCGGAAATGCACACGTATGAATACACTTGGCCTCCGTGCATTGTGTCAGCCACTCAAGGACGCTGATTACTCGAGTGTCGTTGCTGTCCTTCACAGGACACCGTCGCCTACGCGTGTGCGCCCAAATAACATGTGGGTGTCATGGTCTCTGAATCTGTGCCCTTGCGAATGCGCTCACATCGCTTCAGTAGTACACACGGCTTGAATTACCTCTGATTAGATTCCACGAGCCAATGTCAGCCAATCATTCTCTCATTTCGATTAGGCTACCTTTCATTTCAACCAAGACGTTCGCAAGGCACTTGTTCTGCTATCGTTTTTGCATAAACCTAACATACACTTTGTGACTTCCGCAGTCTGTTCAAGTCCACAACCCCAGCAGCCGTTCATGTGTATGGAATTGACCTATGTAGCCGCCCTGCTAACGCACGGACTTGGTCTCCCAATGGACAAGCAGTTAAATGTAAGTGATTTTTCCGTAATTCCTGCAGAACCCATCATTCCGTCACCTAGTGCATCTACTTCTTTTGCAGTTAAATCGGACAATCGACAGTGTCGAAGTAGGCTGGCCCGTCGGCTTTCTGGTTGACATGCTCCACCGAGGTCTTTGAAAACGCTTTGTCGCAACTTTGTTTTACCGCATATGCCTTACTTGCACAGCAGATTGGATGTAAATCTTATCCTTTTTGAAATAACAAATTTGCATACAATTTACACCGGTAGCCTATCATTTCGCTACTGGCTGTACTAAACTGAAAAATGACACTAAACAACGTGCATTGACTTCGCATTTCGAGTGTCTGGAAAGAAGCCGTACACTGTCAGCACGGCATCCGTGGTGAATTTCAAGTGACACGCTTGATAAGGTGGACGCCAGGACCCATGTGCATTGGGGCACTCATCGCATCGCTGTCGCCAACCGAGGTGGCGTACAATGGAGCAACTACCGGTGTGTCAGCACCAGAGTCCATTGTGAAATGCACGGTAGTTGAAGTCTGCTTCATTGAAAAGCAGTGACTCATGTGTCAGTCGGTTGTGTTGTGGTACTCAACTGCCAGGCATCTCCATGCTCCAACCGATTTCCGTGGGTTTGGCGATGCTTAAACCCACAGGAACATAAACTGACGGACCGGCTTTCGATGTTTGTTGTGTGGGGCTGAAGTGATGCGTGACTGAATTCGTTGTGAAAATAGTGGGTGCTAACATGTGTGACTTTTGGAAACTTGGGATGCCGTTGAGGCAAGATTTGATCCTGAGTACTACGAGAATTGGATAAAGACTAGAGGTGACGCCTACACGTTTGTTTGACAGCGAAACAAAATCGGTTCTTTGGCACCTATGTATTTCATTACGAAACAGCCAAACATGTGTAGAATGAAACAGGCATCAAACATTTCATCCTAAGTACTAATCTGTCATTGCGCTCTGGTGTCGTTCTACCACGTCCAGCGCTCTACAAATATTACAAAGAAACACATATAACATTAACTACAGACACAGGTGCTATTATACATGAATGCAAAATTTAAAACATACTCCAAATATTTGTTTGTCTACATTGGGCGGAAATGTTATATTCACCTTCGCCGATTGCCTGAATGGAAGAAAATGCATGAGGTATAATTCTTATCCGAGTTACCACGCACAGTAATGATTTTCGAGAATATTTGTCCCCATGACTTGTGAATACAATCACCGTAAGTCAACTTGAGTCTGTCGCTTGAACAGTGCCACAGACAGTTTATCACATTCTTGCGTGGCCATCCTTGTGAGAAGTAATAACGCGAACTACGGTTCCATGAAATGTGGCCACGGTCAATTTGCATCGGCTTTACAACTCGTCGAAACAGTTTCATTCGACGCTATTTCTCCAATGATAAAGAAAGAAACGCTTAATGCCTGCGCAATAAACGATCGCAGTCTCGGTCGTGAGCATTGTAACAGCTAATCACACAGTGGAACGGGTTCAAGACATTTAATCCGCCCACTAACAATGCAACTGTACATCGCACAAACTAATTTTGTATGATTCAGTGTCATTAGAAAAAGATATCGACAAATATACAAATTCACTTTATGAGTAAATTTCTTCACTATTTCTCCAATCGACTACATAAATAGTATTCATTTCACTCGTATCTCATGTGATTTGTCTATGCTTGGTAACGCCGTATAGTGTGATTCCTTTCGAATTTCTGTACACTGCATCTTTTAGGCAGCTATGGCAATGATTCGGTAATCGCTTCGAATTTTACCTCAAAATATCTGTGGCAAACCATGTATCCGTGTTGAACACTTGCTGCTTCATTCGGTCTCTCATATTGCGCCATATTTGTGATAGTATTGTAGTAATACGGTTCTTCTAAAATGCAGACGAAGCAAGCAGAAATTAAGAATCACATGCACACACTGTTGCCAATGTATAAGAATTGAAATTTACACACACCGTTGGAATCCGAATCGATGATTCGCCAACCGGAGGGTAAGAGGTCCAACGAAGGTGCCTGGAGGTGAAAACATCAACGAGATGTGCAAAGCGATTATGATAATTACCACGCAACTTAGTCAACATGACGAAGAACGCCTGCGAGTGTCACTGGGGGCGTGACGTAGACGCAAACAAGAACAGTAAATGCATGCCAGGCTGTATCAATTTTACGTGGTTCGATTTCGTGCGACTATTCACTCCCTCATTTTCGTTCATATAAGTCATCATTTAATATAGAACTAGTATACCTGAACGATTTAAGCAAATGTGCCAGTCTCATCTCAGGTACGTACTTATAGGTTTGGTAAATCTGCCGGACTTTGTTGTATGAACAGTGCTTTCCGTATCTGGGTGGATAAAATTATTGCTACAAATACACACAAATTGCGTTTTCCTGAGATTCTACTATGGACGTTATTTCTACTATGACGTTATTTCTCAAACCGCGTAAGGTCCCATGTATCCATCATAAAGTGGGACTCATTTTGTAGCCGTCTATTTCACAAGCCAATCAGTAAGTCCCCCAGCAGACAATTAGTTGGAACATTTCACTCACACTACTTATATTTCAGTGTGCAAATAAATTGAAGCATTAGTAAAATGTGCTAAATCCTCACTTGGGGTTTTATTTCGAAATGTATGGCACGAACCTGGTTAGTGTCTTGAAATCTGTCGGATTCAGTTGGCCTTTCCCATTGCGACACATTTGTAAATCGATTGAAAAAATACGTTTCACCTACAAAATCCGAGATCAGCACAGATCAAGCAGCAAGCACACACCCACACACATGCACAGTTAATAATGAAGGGTGTTGTGCGAGAAACGCACCTGTGCTTGTGGATACGCGAGTTTCCCATCCGTTAGGCAGGTCGGTCATGAAAGGTGCCTGGATGACAGAAATACAGCAAGTCGTAGAAAACCATTGAGCAAAGCATGCCACACAACTCGACCAACTCGACGAGGGATTCGTGAGTATGCCACTGCGAGGACGCGCTAACTGTTACCACCAATGACAACTCCATGCCAAACTGCGTCAACTCTACTCGGTTAGATATTACACCATTAGTATATATGCTCAGTTTCTTTCAAATAAGTATACATGTGTTTGACCCAAGCGATTAGCGTCCATGTGTCCTTCGAAATCTT